CCAATGAGGCCCACTCCAAGACACATCATCATTAAAATGGCAAATATCAAAGACAGAGAATCCTAAAGGAAGCAAGGTAACGTATAAGGGAGCCCCAGTACGACTAGCAGCTGACTTCTCAACAAAAACAGTACAAGCCAGAAGGGAATGGCAAGAAATATTCCAAGTAATGAAAAGCAAAGGTCTGCTACCAAGACTGCTTTACCCAGCAAAGCTCTCAATTAAAATGGAAGGCAAAATAAGGAGTTTCCCAGGCAAAAGAAACCTAAAAGACTACACCTCCACCAAACCAGCACTGCAAAATATGCCAAAGGGACTGCCTTAAGAAGATGAAGAAAAAGAGTCTATGAATACCCAGTTCCTTTCACAGTTGCTGATACTTGGTATTACCGATATTTTTAATATGTAACCTGATTGTGACAATGATGTGTTATTTTAATTATTCCTTTATTATTTACTGAAACTAAACCTGTTTTTATATATTTCTTGCCTAGTTCTATTATTTTTAAAAAAGCTTTAAATGACTTTTTGATATTCTTTATGCATTTTTTGATTAAATGTTTGTAGAATTTTTTCCCTAAAAAGAAACAAAACCATTAACCCTTTTTAAGATATGTGGCAAATACTTTCCTATTCTATTGCTTGTCCTTTAACTTTTTTTATATGTATATTACTGTACAGTCTTAAATGTTCAATATAGTCATATTGTCAATATTTTATTTTATAGCTTCTGGGTTTGAGTATTTTACTTCAGGGTGAGAAAAATATTAGTTTGTCTTTTCTCCTAAAACTCCTTAGATTCTACATATTGATTTTTAACTCACCTGAATATTCCTTGTATAATGTGTGAAATAGGGCTCTATATTTATTTCTTTTCATGTAATAGTGGTCCATGCACCTTATTTGTTGAATAAGCCTTATTGTCCCCATTGACTTCAAATATCAACTTAATCATATATTACATTGTTAGACAGATATATACATTTGTTTCTAGAATGCTCATTTCATTGATCTACTTGATTATTTCTGTGCTGGTGTCATGTTGTTTTAATTGCTGAGACTTTATAATGGGTTTAAATTTTTTAATATTTTAAAATTAACTTTGACACTTAAAAAATAAATAAAATCAGTCTGCATTTAAGAAAGAGAGAGAGAGAGATGACTCCTACCTTTTGCGACAACATGGATGGAATTGGAGAATATGAAGCTAAGTGAAATAAGCCAGTTGATGAAAGACAAATGCCAGATGATCTCACCTATAAGTGGAATCTATTCAACAAAATAAACTAGTGAATAAAATAAACCACAGGGATGAAAACATCAAGCAGACTGAAAGTGACCAGAGGGGATGGGAAAAGAGGCCAATGGTGGAAAGAAGGGGAAGGGACAAAGAACATGTATGAATGACCCATGGACATGGACAACAGAGTGGGAATTGACTGTGGGAGTGGGGGGTGGGGGGTGGTGGTGGGATGGGTGGAGGGAGGCAAAGGGGGGAAAATTGAGACAACTGTAATAGAATAAACATAATTTATAAATTAAAAAAATAAATCTTTTTTAAAAAAGAAAGTAAACACCAGTGAGTAAGTAGTGCCTCTGGAAGCAAAGTATAGGATATTGTAGTATCAAAAATCAGAGCTATCCAGTGACTAAGTCAAAATGAGGGATTTGGTGCATCCAGCAGGGAGTTGTGCTTCAGGTCATACCCGTGCTCAGTAGCTGAAGGGCAACATAAGTAGCATGAAAGATCTCAATTCAGCACTACGATGTATAGCTGACTGGAAGCTGTCTTCTGTCAAAGGTTAAACCATTCTAGAAAGAAAGGATACTACAGAACACGTACATCCATGATCTCCTTCATTGGGGAGATAAAAATAGAGCTAAAAAGAATAAAAAAAAAAATATGTTCTCTGAATCCATGATTGTTTCTGTTCTGCTTGTTGTTTATTTTGTTTTTTATATTCAATTGCTGATACATATTTGTTACTATTTTATTATTCATATTTTTGTTCTTTTTAAAGACCCTTTAACATTTCATGTAATGCTGGTTTGCTGGTAACATACTCCTCCAGCTTTTTCTTGCCTGGGAAGCTCTTCCTCTACCTTGGAGATCTGAAGGCAGCTTTTGTGATACTTGAAACTGAAGTAAATAATAGTATTTTCAAGACATGGATTTGTATATTATTTTCAAAGACTTGTGTGTTTCTAAATAGAAGTATGTATACACATTTACATATTTAGGGCAATATGTAGTCATTACATGAGAGCTTTGAATTTGGTAGATCTAGATTCAAATCCTGCCTCTAATAGTTGCTGGTATTTGCCATTGGGCAAATATTTTAGCTTCACAAAAATTTTTTAAAAATCTGTACCCCAAATAGTACTAGTTACCTAACTTCATAGTATTGTGTGAATGAAATAGATGAAAAGAGTACTTGATGTAGAGAGATCACTCAGTAAGTGTTAACCTATTATCATTATTACTACCATCTGTAATAGAGCCTTGATTAATGCTGTTTCAGTTAGAGACTCATTTTATTTTATAATTTTACTAGTTAACTTCACTTAGTATTTATGAGAAATGCTTTTATTTAGAGGAAATAACTTGGTAAGCATCTAACCTATTAAATGAGCTAATTCTTTATATGGACAAATTTTTTACAGAGAGTAAAATTTTAATATCTCTTTTAAAAATATATTGATTATGCTATTACTTATTAGTTGTTGCAATTTTTCCCCCTTTGTGCCCCTCCACCCAGTACCCCCAGTTACTTACAGCAATCTACTTCTTAGTTCATGTCCATGGGTTATGAATATAAGTTTTTTGGCTACTATTTTTCCTATACTGTTTTTAGCATCCCCCGCCCCTGTCTACTTTGTACCTACCAATTTGTACTTCTTAATCTCTCTACCTTTCCCCTGACTCTTCCCCTGCCCCTTCCAACAGATATCCATCCAAGTGATCTCCATAACTATTATTCTGTTTCTATTCTGCTTATTTGCTCAGTTTGTTTTTTAGATTCAGTTGTTGATAGTTGTGAATTTATTGCCATTTTAATGTTCATGGTTTTGATCTTCTTCTTTTTCTTAAATAAGTACCTTTAACATTTCATATACTAATGGCTTGGTGATGATGAACTCCTTTAGCCTTACCTTGTCTGTGAAGCACTTTATCTGCCCTTCAATTCTAAATGATAGCATTGCTGGATAGAGTAATCTAGGTTGTAGGTCCTTGATTTTCATCACTTTGAATACTTACTGCCAGTCCCTTCTTGCCTTCAAAGTTTCTTTAGAGAAATCAGCTGACAGTCTTATGGGAACTCCTTTGTAGGTAACTCTCTGCTTTTCTCTTGCTGCTTTTAAGATTTTCTCTTATCTTTAAACTTTGACATTTTTATTATAATGTGTCTTGTGGTGGTCCTCTTTGGGTTCAACTTGTTTGGTACTCTCTGTGCTTCCTAGACTTTAAGTCTATTTCCTTCACCAAATTAGGGAAGTTTTCTTTCATTATTTTTTCAAATAAGTTTTCAATTTCTTGCTTTTTCTCTTCTCCTTCAGCACCCCTATGATTTGCATGTTGGTATGTTTGAAGATGTCCCAGAGGCTCCTTAGCCTATGGTCTTTTTTTTGGATTCTTTTTTCTTCTTGCTGCTCTGATTGAATTTTTTTTTTCTTCCTTATGTTCCAAATCATTGATTTGATTCTAAGCTTCATTCACTCCACTCTTGGTTCCCTGTAAATTTTTCTTTATTCCACTTAGTGTAAACTTCATTTCTGCATGGGTCATTTTTATGCTGTTGAAACACCCAATGAGTTCCTTGAACATCCTAATAACCACTGTTTTGAACTCTGCATCTGATAGATTGCTTATCTCCATTTCATTTAGTTCTTTTTCTGGAATTTTGTTCTGTTCTTTGACTTGAGCCATATTTCTTTGTCTCCTCATTTTGGCAGCCTCCCTGTGTTTGTTTCTGTGTATTAGGTAAAACTGCTTTAAATCCCTTTCTCAGTAGCATGACCTATTTTAGACAAGCACACTGGTAAGTTGGATGGGGCAGAGCCTTAGGTGATCACCAGGGCATGGCAGCCTGTGTCACTGCTCTGTGGCTCTGTGCTGGGGAGGGCTCAGAGAAGGGACAATGACACTGCATGGCCTCTGGAGTTTTGTCCAGAAGGAAGCTGTCTCCTGAAACTTGCCCTGATGCTAGTCACTTAACTTTCTCCCCATATGTCACTGGTGCCCTTCCAGCTATTGCCCTAGTGCTCAGGCCCAAAGAGAGTGAGCCTGCATAAGTCCTAGGTCCGTTGCAGACCCTTTAAGAGGAGACTCCTGAGAATCCTGCAGTTTCTTCCGCTGCTCCAACCCCCACTGGTTTTTATAGCCATAAGTTATGGAAACTTACCTTCCTGGGCTGGCAGGGGCAGGGGAGTGGGGTCTGGTGTAGGGCTGGGATCCCTTGCTCCCAAGGTATCCCTCCCAATTTTTATCCATCACACGTGAATGTGGGACCACCCATTCTGCATCTCTGCACCTCCTCCCTGTCTGGATGAATGTGGCTTCTTTAATTCCTTGGCTGTAGGACTTTCATACAGCTTGATTTTCTGATGATTCTGGGTGATATATGTTTTGTAGTTGTAATTTTTACTATGGTTGTGTGAGGAGGCTGCTGTATTTACCTATGCTCCATCTGACCTGCTCTTTAATAATTATTTATAGAGAATAAATTCCATAGTCATACCATGTTTTAAAAAGCATGTTATAGACACATTTCATTTTATATAATTAAATATAGTCATCACAGGGTTTTTAGTTAAATATTTTTTGAGATGACTTACTGCAGTCATTTAGAAAGTAAGTAGTAACATTTCTACTTCAAAGAACTTCAAAGAGTGTTTGATGGTCATTTGAGGAACAGACATTTTGCTTGCACTGTATTTTAGAAATCATCATTAACATGTGATTATTTGCATTTTAATAGCTGATTTTCTTTCCCTCACAGGTTCTGGCTTCAGTGACCCTCTTGCTGGAGCGCCATCTCAATATTTACAGAGACTGTCGAAAATGGCCATATTAGAGTATGATACCATTCGTCAAGAAACAACCAGAAAGTCAAAAAAGGGTAGGAATCGAGAGCTGCGGGACTGCTGATAACTCATGCTGTGTGATGCTTTCTTCACTGGCTTTTAAGGCTTAGACTTCCTTTCTTTTTCTTTCTTTTTGATATATATGGTATGCAATGATACATGTAACAATGGAAATGTAAATAGGAAATAAATATTTTATGTTATGTACAGAATAACTTCTGTTTTGTTAGCATTACAAATAAGAATTTAAGTCATCATTTATGCAGACATAAGCATAAGGTATATTTCATGAATTTTATGCACATTGATTATATTTTTTGACTCAACTTGAAAAATGTTTTGTAAGTGTCTCTTTGTACAATGACGTTCACTGGGAGCCACAGAAGATTTAAAAAAAAAAGTGAGCTCTTCTTGTTGGGGATAGAAAGTGGCCAGCTGAAACCCCTCCTCTTCCCTGCTTGTGTTTGAAACAGTCTTGTGGTAAGTATTCAAGCAGATGAAGATGAAAATGTTAGCTTTGCTTTTTGATACAACCTGGAAGGGAAACCCTGGCTTAGATGTGTAGCAGCCTCTTAACAGTGAACTTCAGAACTGGGCCAGCGCACAAACCCAGGCAGTGCTGACAAGCTTAGGCTCACCTGCCGAGCCAGGGCCTCCATGGCCAAGCAAGGCAAGGTTCTCCACTGTGTAGACCGGCAAGTCCCTGAGGGGGAAGCGGTTGGGGAGACACTCACTCCTCTGTGAGGAGGAAGAAGGTCTAGCTTAGGAGGACTCTGCTTCTCTAGAAAGCCTGAGGGGTGAGGGAGAATTGTGTGTCAGTGCACCTTTCTGAGGAACCAGGAGAAATCCAGGCCGCCGATGCCTGTGATCCAGTGAGAGTGGGACCAGGGCCACAGGAGAGCTACACAGTGTCACAGAGGTTCAAGAAGAGAGTGGTAGCATCTAGCAGGAAAGCTTCAGGGAAGATGCAGTGGTCAAATGGAACTTAAAGGCAGGAAAGATGAAGGGAAAGGGCATTTCCAAAAAGATGGAATAACATAGCTAAGGTACCCTGTGCATTTGGGAGTGACTAACATGGTTGGAACACTGGGTGGTAGAGGGTGCCTGTCAGAAGTCACATGCCTACAGGCACCAAGCCAAGGACCATGTTAATGACATCAATGAGATGAATGCTGCAGGGAGCTGGGGCACTCACCACCCAGCCTCAGCCCTTTGTGTCACCTGGAAATGAAGGCCCAGTGTTGCCAGATATTCCAACTTATTATGAGAAGCTAGACTCCAGATTTGTATGTGAAAACTTCCAATGTGTAAATGTTAGCAACTAATTTGAAATAAGCAACTAATTCAAAATTTATAAAGCCATTGTGTGGGCCAGAGAAAGTTGCATGTGCAAGCTAGGGCTGCCTTTACAGGGCCGTTCATTTCTGCAAACTTGAAGAGATAAGGCTTGAGGTACCCAGAGATCTGGTAGGGAGCCTCAGATCCAAGCATGAGTTTATATTTCCTCATTTTCACAGTGGGAAATTTTGAGAATGGAAGTAGATTATTGCTATTGTAATTTAGGAAGATTCATTCAGGTATAGTGCTAGGCTAGACTGTGATGGGAGGAGCCTAGACGCAGGGAACCCAGTGAGGAGATGTTTATAAAAATTGAGGTAAGAATCTTGGTAGAAAATTAGAGACAGGACATCAAGGCAATGCACCTAAGGTCAACTGATTGGACATAGGGTATCGAAACAGGAAGAGTCAAAACCACTCATTTCCAATTTTAGACCTAACATTCTCCTATGCTAGTTTTAGGGAATAACAAGAGGAATGCAGTTTTGAGTATATTCAGTTTCAGGTGCCATCAAGACATCCTTAGAGATGCCAAACAGATAGCTGAAAGCAGGTGTGGAGTTCTGGAAAAAACATAGTTGACTAGAATTAGAACTTGGCAAAACATGTGCAGTGCAAAAGCTGAGTTTTCCTGCTCAAAATGTAGAGAGAAAAGAGAGCCCAGATTCAGAAAGGATGGGAGTAAACAGGAAGAAGACAAAAATAGAAGAGAAAAGCATCACAGGTATAGGACAATGGACATATTTCATGTTATTGCATACTTTATATTACTGTATAAAATACACTATTAATATGTATGTGTTTGTATGCATTATCATAATACATTAGTTCTTAGGGAATAACTATATAAATTTACATGGATATATTTGTGCTTGGATCTGAATTTCAATTGAGAATGATTTACTTATTACCTGTACATTTTCTGTCTTCCAGTCACCCATTCCAAGTGTGGTCAATGAATTAAGAAATGGGAAACAGGAGAAAAGATCATCTCAAATAAAAATTTGATGAGCTTTTTTTTTTTTGGATGGGCACTTATAAATATTGGGTTCGCCAAAAAGTTCATTTTTTTTTCCATAAAATGGTTCCAGTAGTTCTTAGTTGTCTTTAACTTCATTCAAAACAATTTTGTTAGATTGTATTATTACAGGCATGCATTTAAAAAACTTATCAACATTGGTAAATTTGTGTGTAGCCATATTAATATTGAACATGGAAGAAAATAAGCAACATTTTTGCCATATGATGTTTTATTATTTCAAGAAAGGTAACAATGCAACTGAAACACAAAAAAAATTTGTGCATTATATGGAGAAGGTTATGTGACTGATCAAACATGTCAAAGTGGTTTGCAAAGTTTCATGCTGGGGATTTCTCACTGGATGATGCTTTACAGTTGGGTAGACCAGTTGAAGTTGATAGCGATCAAATCAAAACATTAATTGAGGACAATCAGTATTCTGCCACGAGGGAGATAGTCAACATACTCAAAATATCCAAATCAATAAAGTTATTGGTGAAAATGAAAAATGTGTCTTTTATTTTATGGAAAAAAAAATATGGACTTTTTGGCCAACACAATACCTTTAATTGTCAAATGGGTTTCATCTAGTGAGGTCCTACTATGTACTCTAAACATTTAATATTTTTTGTAAACCTTATGAACAGCCTAAAAAAGTAGGTGGGTAATATTATTTCTGTTTTGTAAATAAAGTAAATAAGGGGTCTTTGTTTTACATTGGGTCTCAAGCTAGCAAATAGAAATAAATTCTCTATTTTCTATGTAACTAAGCTCTGAAGCTCATGTACATAAACTTAATAGAATTTTTTAAAAACTTAGTTGATACATCATGATTTAGTTACTTATGATTCAGGGGAAGATAATACTTGCACAGAGGAAAATATCTTGTAATGTTGAGTTCCTGACTTATGATGCCAACACATCTTGGAGCATTTATACCAGTAGAATAGAAAACCCCCCTTCCCCAATCTCCCCCATGAAATAGTTCAACTCAGTTCAGTTTGAGAAAGGAGTGGAATGTTTATTTCTTTTTAATAAATGAGATATGCTGACAATAATTAATCACCTTTTTAGCCTTGGGTTGAATTTAATTTAACTTATGTTTTTCATTAAATCTTTTTTTTAACCCACAGTCTCCACTTCCTTACATTGCATTTATTTATTTATTTATTTAGTTCCTCATGAACTTTTTAGAAAAAAACTACCATGTATTTTGTATTTTGTTCCTCATGAACTTTTTAGGAAAAAACACCACCTATTTAGTATTTAGTATCACTCCCAAGTAAGATTAACCAACAATTAAGAGATAAGAATGAAATGCCAAGTTATGATATTGTAGTTACCATGGATTTAAATTTGTATTTAGGGTTGAAGACAGTCTTGCCAGAAATTATCTTATTTTCATTTGTAATTTAGAAATTCCACCTGTGTAAGCCACATCAGTCATAATCTTAAGAAACTGTACCTTATGATAGAATACTTAGGATGGCAAGACCAAGTCTTGATTCTAGGATGAGAAAACAGTTCTTTACAAAGAATAGTTACTTAAGTGAAGGATAAATTGTTAGTCAATAATAATTTCAAAGAAATTTCCTGAGACTCACTGCCTTTTCTCTAATTCTAAGCTCATCAAACAACCCTCTAATATGTAATTTAGATTCCTGAGTAAATATAGTCACCAAAAAGCAGATGCCTTCTCTGGATGACAATAATAACTAAATTTTTTACATATCCACTATGTATGGGGCATTATGCAAATGCTGTTCATCTAATATCTTATTAAGTCATTCCAACAGCCCAACTTGACAACTCATCTTGTTCTCGCTCTATTCCCCAGGTGACTATTACACATCATCTCTTTTCTCTTTAGGTCACTAGTACTTTCCCCCAAACTCTCACTCTTAGCTTACGGCCTTCCTTCTTATTTCCTTGAGAACGTAAGAGCCATGAGGAGGGAGCTTCCATTCACTCCTCCAGGAACCTACTTGCCTCTGTGCTCCTGTACTTACCGCCTGTGCTCCTGAGAGCAGCCCTTCACTTGTGCACAGATACCATCATTTCCCTCTTGACACATTCCACCAGTGTAAAAATGCTGCACAATCTGTCTTAACCCAACATTTGGCCTCTTATGATCTGTATTTCCTTTTACAACCATACTAGGCACTTCTCCTCAGCCTCCTTAACAAGGTCATACAAGCTAATGAAGCGACATATCTGGGATTTGAACCTTCAAAGGCAGAGACTACTTACCCATTCTTATGTCCCTAGTACCTGACACTGTGCCCAGCATGTAACATGAACTGAGAAGCACTTAATTATTTTGTGTAAAAAATTGTTTTGTGAAAAAGAATGCAGAGCTAGAGGTCAGTCGGTGATGAGACAGTTGAGACAAGAAGACACTGGCCTTTTTAGTCAGCAAGAGGGAAACATGATCACTAATGGAATTTCTGAGGAGTGGGAACCAGTAAGAGATCCTGACAGGTAAACTTTGGTTAGCACCTGAAAGAGGGAAATTTGGTCTAATCTGGCAGTCACTGTCTTCAAAGCCTAGCAGCCTAGAGACAAATGGCCATTGCCTGGTTGGCAGTGAGGAGCCCATTGCCTCAGGACAAATTCCTGGGAAACAAACTCTAAGATGGAGGTGAGCATGTGGCTGGCAGTGCTGTCAGGAGCTGCTCCGAGGAGGGAGAGCCTCCAGAAAGAAT